TTTCAAAAATATAGCCTCTTTACTAACTTTTAAACTTTCGCGTTCCATGATAATTAATATTATTTAACGGGAATTAACGCGATCTCTTATTCCAGAAGACGAGTACAACAGACTGTACAAACCAAAGTCACACCAGCCACCGAAATTATATGGTCTGCCTAAGATACACAAGCCTGACGTACCGCTGCGGCCGATTGTAAGTCAAATTGCTTCTCCTACTTACGATCTAGCAAAGCACGTTGCTTCAGTATTGCAACCACTTATAGGCAAAACACCGTCTTTTGTGAAAGACTCACGGCACTTCATACAAATCATAAAAGATCTGACGTTGGAACCGGATGACGTCATGGTGAGCTTTGACGTGGAGTCGCTTTTCACCAATGTTCCAATAAAGGAGTGCCTAAACGTCGTAAAAGACCTACTGAGAGACAACGAGCTGCCCTTAAACTATATGGATCTACTTGAACACTGTTTAGAAGGCAACTATTTCCTTTTCCAAGGTCAACATTACCTCCAGATTGATGGTGTCGCGATGGGAAGGTCCTGTAGCCCCAGTACTGGCCAACATCTGGATGGAACATTTTGAAGAGAAGGCTTTAAATCTCGGCCCGAATACCGTTAAGCTATGGAAGCGATACGTGGATGACATTTTCAGTATCGTCAAAGGAAACAAACAAGAAGTGGATCAATATATACAAACATCTGAACTCTATTCACCCCAAAATGAGGTTTACATATGAAATGGAGACGGACAGGTCGTTGTCCTTCTTAGATGTTAAAGTAGCCGTGAGATCGGATGGGTCCTTGTCACACTGTGTGTACCGTAAACCTACTCATACGGACAGATACCTACACGCCACGTCTCATCATCACCCCCGGCACTTGCAATCTGTTATGACTTCACTCAAAACAGAGCTTACGATCTCTGTGACCCTGAACATTTAGAACAGGAGCTAAAACATGTTCAGGAGGTACTCAAAGGTAACGGATATCAAGTGAAAGGAGGACGGAAGCAACCGAAAATAAGACGCAAGTATCCAGAAGTGAACAGGCAACCGGCCTATATGCCTTATGTCAAGGGAGTTACGGACAAGATCGGGTCTGTACTAAAGAAATATTCCATTCCGACAGTATACACACCAGGCATAAAGGTTCACAACATCGTCGGCACACCGAAGGATACATTGCCACTACAAACTCCGGGTGTTTATAAAATAGACTGCAGCTGCGGAAGCTCATACATAGGCCAAACTAAGCGGACTATTGCAGAAAGGGTCAAAGAGCATATCGCTGCTGTGAAGAACCGACAGACGAGCAAATCAGCGATTGCAGAACATGCACTCGATGCAGGCATCAACCACTGGATTGAATTTCACCGCACGCAAGTCCTCTCCACCGAACGTCACTTTTACTCAAGAGTTGTACGTGAAGCGATTGAGATTAAAAAGCATAAAACTTTCAATCGGGAAGATGGTTTTAAAATTATCTACAGCGTGGAATCCAGTGTTAAAAAACATACCACCTCGCTTTTCTGCGCAATCGGTTAAACACCAGAATAGGGACTCATCGGTTTGCTTACAGAATAGGGACACTGTTAGTGTGGTATGTGACGGTACATGGCGACACAAAAATAATATCGAAAATGTGCGGGTAGATGAAGAACCTTCTACTTCACGGATTCGACGACGGAGGGCGTGCGCCGATGAGCCAGTCAGCCTGTGACCACGGCCGGTGCAACCTGGTCGAAACGTCAGGCAAACCAGAGGTATGTAATACCCTAAATAAGAGATCGCGTTAATTCCCGTTAAATAATATTAATTATAGCCTCTTTACTTGCTTCACAAACAGCCATGCGTGCAGTGCAGGTACTTCCCAAAGCAGCCGTGCCCGGAAAGGACCTGCGTCAGCCGGAAGGAAAGGGTCCCGTGCTGCCGCCCTGCCCACTCGATAATGACCGGCTGGAGCGCCTCCTTATTTATTTATCCTAATTAGCAGATATGTTTCTTGTTCGCGGGGGCCATTTTGATTTTTTCATGTGATAAGCATTGTTTACTAATTTCTATCCGCCAGTATAATTATAGTTTTATTTGAAAGTGTGTACATTTAACAGTTTATTACTGAGTTCCGTTGATTTTTTAAAAATGTTATTTGATTGTGAGTTATGTGTGGATAATGTATGTCTATTTAAAATTAAAAATAACAAGCTCTCACAATTGCCATTCAGTGAAAAGATTAAAATTGTGTCTAAAGGTAGGTGTGTACCCGAGTTACAACAATTAAACCAGCAAAAAGGAAATGTAACTCGCAAGTTTCATGTTAAAAGTTATGAAACGTATAACTGGCTGTGTGGTTGTGTACACACGATTAAATTATATTGTTTTCCTTGCATATTGTTTAGTAATTCTAGTACAGTGTGGACTGATTCGGGATATTCAGATTTAAATAATTTCTATTCCGCAGCAAAGAAGCATGATGCATGGTGAGTAGTTATAATATTTTAGCCTATTATTTTATTTATTTATTTATTTATTTATTTATTTATTTATTTATTTATACTTCCTGCAAATACATTGCATAAGGGGGACTTAATGCCATAGGCATTTTCTTCCAGTCAACCTTGGGGTGATGCAGAGATTTGTGTATGGCAGGTATATAATGAGATAATTTATTTAAATTGTAGTCGGCTGCTAGATGGATACATATATAAATGCAGATATCATTTATACGTACTATATAATACTATAAATATAAAAAAAACATAAACATACACACATACATCCATACATATATGCCTGCGTTGATGAACACACAAGGGGTTATTTTGATGACTCCGTCAACAAGTCTCCATAAAGCTTGCGTACTCTGGTCTTAAAGATTGTTCGGTTGGTGGACAGTGAAGGAAGAATGTACGATACGGGAGCTATGTGAAGGACAAAAAAGGAGGAAATTATCAGCGGAGCGAAGGCTTCTGTCATGGTTGGAGCAGAGATATTGCAGGTGGGATGTTAAGTAAGTAGGTGAGGTAGGTGTGTGGAGAAGGGAGTGCAACATTGTCAGCGCCCGCAAACTGCGGCGCTGTCTTATAGGTAGCCATGACAATTGCCTGCGATAAGCGGATACATGATCGTACTTTCGCAGGTTGAATATGAACCGAATGCAGTTGTTGAGAAGTCGGTCTAATTTATTGAGCAGATCTGCATTCAGGTCGAGGTAACACACATCACCATAGTCGATGATTGGGAAAATTAAGGTCTGCACCAGCATCGTTTTTGTTTTCACTGGGAGTAAATGTTTCAGGCGGTAAAGTCCCCTCAAAATATTCGTTACCTTCTGACTGACGCTAGTTACCTGCGTTTGCCAATTTAGGGTTGGGTCTATGTGCAGACCGAGATCCTTGACTGATTGGCTAATGGGCAACACAGTTCCATCAAAAATAATATCTGCGATAGCGTCAGTATCAATTCTATCCGTCATTCTAGGACTCCCTATAAAGATTGCCTGACATTTGGCTGGGTTCACGGTTAAACCAAATCTGCTGGACCAGTTTTTTATGGTGTCTAGGTCGCGGTTAATTTTATTTATCGCTTCGTCTATATTTTCTACTCTCGCATGTGAGTAGATCTGTAAGTCGTCTGCATACAGGTGATACGAACACTGAAGTTCATAAGTTATGAAGTCGATGAATAGTGAAAAGAGAAGTGGAGAAAGAATACCGCCTTGTGGAACACCAGAGTCAAGGTCGGCCCATAGCGATGTGGATTCATCAGTTCGGACAGACTGCTGGCGTCCTCGAAGGTAGGACGAGAACCATTCCAGTGCATCATCGGAAATCATGAAATGGGAAAGGATTGTAAGTAGTATATCGTGATTCACGGTGTTGAAGGCATTTGAGAAATCAATTAATGCGAGTACAGTTATCTGGCCATCTTCCATCTTCCATTTTACTTATTAGAATTTCTTCCGCCGCGACGATCTATCGCTGTTTTGTCTGCGTTCCCGTTGAAGATGTACATGAATAGTAGTACATCTAAGACTTGTGCTAGAAATCTATAAAAGAAAAAGTGACCGACTACTCCGCCGCATACCTAGTGTCATAATCCTGTGCACGCCGCTGCTCGTCGAGCAATACGATGGGCCTGTAGGCCGCGACCGAAGTCTGATGTCCAATCTGCATCAGCGAAGCCTAAAAGTATTCTATACTTCTTGTCTAAAGTATTCTATACTATGTAAAGTATTCTATACTTACATTAAACCATAAGTTTTGTGATGCTTACATATTTTAAAACTGTCTTAGCATGTTTCCAGTGTGTTTCAGGATTGCAGTTATTAAACTGACTTAAGTACTAAATATCAGGTCTAGTTAGAACAGAGAGATACATTAAGCTACCTGTTAGCTGCTGATAAGGATATTTAGATTGTACATTTTCTCCTTTTTTAAATTTCAAATTAGTCTCCATAGGCATATCTACACCTTTACAATTTTGTTAGCCAAATTTATACAATAAATTTTTCATCCACTTCACAAATGTTTTATAATTTCCAATTGATTTTACAAACAAACAATGTTCATACATAGACTTCTTATAGCCTAATTGCTGTAAAAAATCATCAACTCGTTTATACCATGCTCGTGGGGACTGTTTCAGTCCATAAAAGTTTTTTTTTAATTTTAAGACTTTATTTGCATTAAATTTAAATTAAATTTTTTGAGGTAATTGCATAAAAAACAGTTTCACTTAAATGACCATTCAGAAACGTAGTTGTTACATCTAAATGGGTTATATTAAGATCTAAGTTTACACTAAGAGAAAATAACAGTTTCAAAGTGGAATATTTAAGAACTGGGGAAAAGTTTCTTTATAGTCAATGCCCTCTCGTTTGGTGAAACCTTTTGCAACTAATCTAGCCCCATATCTCACTGTATTATCACAATTTAATTTCTTTTTATATACCCACTTACACTGTATTAATTTAGCATCACTCGGTTTGTCAACCAACTCTCAAGCTTCATTCTTATGGAACGACTGAAGTTCTTTTTTCATGGCTTTGGACCACTCTTCTCGTTCTGGTCCTCTCATGACATCATCATATGTAAGACTGCTTTCATCCATGTCTTCATTACTCTGACATTTGTTACTGTACCCATACCTTTCTGGTGGTCTTCTGTTCTGCTTTTCTATTTTGTGAATTGGCGACTCCAGATTTTCTGACTTGTCATGCATTGACATTGACTTACTGTCCCCGAATTCATCTGAACTGTATGCACTCGTGGTATCTTCTGGTACAAACGTAGCATCTGTCACATCCATCGAATCACAGGTGACAACTTTACTTGTTATAGTATGTTCTATTTCATTTGGTATAATTTCTTTCTTTACCACCCCTGCTTGTATCATGTCTGAGCCTCTAATTTTCTCCATGATAACAACATCTCTGCTGGTGATAACACTTTTCGTTTTCAGATTGTACAGCCTGCCAGCCCTTTAGTATTCTCTGGGCATCCAATCAGGATATATTCTTCAGCCTTTCTATCCCATTTAGCCTTTTTTACTTTGGCAACATGAACCATCACGGGACTGCCAAATAATCGAATGTGGCTGAGATCTGGCTTTTTACCACTCCAGAGCTTTTTGCTTGTTTTTGCCAGAGCTTGTTTTTCTTAATTCTGAAGCTAATGTTCTATTGCGTAAGTACACTGCCCAGCCCAGTACTTTTTATCATCCCAACCAATCCTTTGCAGCCACAACTTCTGTATTAATTGTTTTGCAGGTACCAGTGCAGGGGTCAGCCAACCAAGAGGATCAAAGAACATTTGTGTTTCAGATAATATGCTTCTTTTAGTAATTACTGCTGGAATAACTGATAAGTTTAAATTGTACTGTATTGTATCGTGTCCTATGTTCCAAGAGAAGCCTAATGCACGGACCGTGCTATTGATTGGTATATCAATCCTTTCTAAGGAACTGTTTTCGTTCTGAGTAAAATGTTTCATAAACTCTGTACTGTTTGAAGACCATTTTTGAAGATTAAAACCCCCTATTTTCAGTATGCTTGCAACCTGGGTCGCTATATCTATAGTTTCTAAAGCAGAATCATTGCCAGACAGCAAATCGTCCATCAAGAAATCTTCTTTAATAGTTTCAGCAGCAAGGGGATACTCGCCACCCTCATCTTCAGCCACTTGTCTCAGAGTCTTGACAGCAAGATAAGGAGCAGCAGCCGTGCCAAATGTTACTCGTAACAGACGATAATCCTTGATGGGACCGTTTTCTTCTCTTCTCCACAGAATTCTTTGATAATCAGCATCTTCCTTTGAGACTAGAATCTGACGGAACATCTTTTCGATGTCAGCCACATATGCTACTCTTCTTAGTCGCCACCTCATGACTAAAGATCGTATATCGTCTTGTAGTGTGGGTCCAACTAACATGTCTTTGTTGAGTGAAACGTTGTTAGTATCTAAATCGGACGCATCAAATACCACTCGGACCTTTGTCGTCTCGCTCGATTCTTTAATCACAGCATGGTGTGGTAAATAAACACTTGGATTGTTTATTTCATTTACAGGTACCTCTTCCAAATGGTTAAGATCAATATATTCTTCTATCACCTTTCCGTATTCTGTTTTTAATTTGTTGTTTCTTTCAAAACGTTTTTCTAATTTTAATAATCTTTGCATTGCTATTTGTCGTGTGTTTCCATTCGGAATGTCGGGATTTTCAGTCTTAAAGGGCAGCTTCACTATATATCTACCATCTTCATTTCTTCTATGTGTTTCTTTATAAATTGTTTCGCATTTTTCTTCTTCTGGAGTCAACCTTTTTTTGTCTTCTGTTTCTAACTCCCACAAGGTTTGCAAGAGATGATCGATATTGAATTGATGATGCATGACTACGATTGCTTCTGAATTATCTGCCTGAACGTTGCCGAAAAGGATCCAACCTAAGCTTGTCTTCTGTGCACACGGAGAGCCAGGTGGCCCCTTGATTACCTCATTCTTCAAAATTTGTGCGACACGTAGCAGAATGTTTACTCTCCCTGACTGATGGAATTTCGGATCAGCCAGAGAGAGGCCTTCTAAGTGCGGCCAGTGTGTTGGTGAACATGTGATGGATTTCGTTGGCAGATGTGTTGTGAGTCGCGTACTCATGACGTATGCTGTAATCTGAAGCTTGAACTGGTTGTCGTATCTTGAAAGGAGCTTGAAAGGACGTATGTGTCGAACCCACGCCAGTGATAGTCCCCTTTACAGGTGTTCCCTTGAGGTGTAATAATTGGGTTGCTCGTTCACTTATAAAATTGGCCTGGGAGCCATGATCTATTAACGCGCGTAATATCGTAACGTGACCTCTTTCATCTTTAACAGGCAGAAGAGCTGTAGCGAGTAAAGCGGTGGTCCGCTTAGTCGCCAGATGCGATATTATTAGAACTTCTGCTGGTTGATCATCTAATGTTGATTCTTGATTGTCTTCAACGTCTGTATAGTGAGGTTATCCCTATCATCCCAACCAATCCTTTGCAGCCACAACTTCTGTATTAATTGTTTTGCAGGTACCAGTGCAGGGGTCAGCCAACCAAGATGATCAAAGAACATTTGTGTTTCAGATAATATGCTTCTTTTAGTAATCACTGCTGGAATAACTGATAAGTTTAAATTGTACTGTATTGTATCGTGTCCTATGTTCCAAGATAAGCCCAATGCACGGACCGTGCTATTGATTGGTATATCAATCCTTTCTAAGGAACTGTTTTCGTTCTGAGTAAAATGTTTCATGTCCGTGTAGTGACGGATTATGTCCGTGTAGTGACGGATTAAGAATACGGAATGTCACTACCCCAATTCATCCCGTGGGTGTCGTAAGAGGCGACTAAGGGCGCAAAACAACGCAGGACACCAGCACTGCAAAAAGAAGGAAAACTTGATACAAACCCTATACCAACCCGTCTGGCCAGCGTGGTATAGTAGGCCAAAACCTCCTTTCTAAGGAGAGGCCTATGTCCAGCAGTGGACTATTAAAGGCTGTTGATGATGATGATGATGAAAATGTTTCATAAACTCTGTACTGTTTGAAGACCATTTTTGAAGATTAAAACCCCCTCTTTTAAGTATGCTTGCAACCTGGGTCGCTATATCTATAGTTTCTAAAGCAGAATCATTGCCAGACAGCAAATCGTAGACTACCCCAAGAATGACTTTAACTCCCCTGACACAAACCTCGAGGAATAGGTATTCTGCGCTAGTGGAGGTATTGGAAGAGGAGGAGGCTAGTGGTTTATACGGTAAATCACTACGAAGGTAGATGGCGACGCCGCCACCTCTTTTATCCGAACGGTCGTTGCGGATGAGGACAAAGCCGGTGAGAGCGTAGGAAGTAGAGGGAAGGTGAGGTTTGAGCCAGGTCTCAGAAATCAGGATGGCATGAACGTCATTGTCTGAGAAAGTCTCAGTTAAATCGCCAATGTGGCTAGGGACACTCTGCGCGTTTATGTGGCAGACATTTAAGTGAGGACGAGATCGAGTAGAAAATGTTTGCCGTAATTGGTCACCCAGAGTCTCTGTCAAGGAGCCGAAACTATCACCCTCTGAAGATTCATTGGCAGAGAAGTATACGTCATCCACATCATCAACCATCAGTGTACTGATATAAACTAATTAAGTATATAATATATAAAATCTACTAAGTCTATTAAGTCTACTAAATCTACTAAATCTACTAAGTCTGCTAAATCTACTAAATCTACCAAATCTACTGGTCTCAATAACAAATCGGCCGGGATTGGCAGATCATTTCTCTACACCACCCACCAGCGGGCACAAACACAAAACTTAGTTAAGTCAAATAACACCTTATGGTAAGTGTCTGAAATCACATAAATCTGAAGTCAATTTGTTCATCCCTACATAGAACATTTAAAAAAAAACAAAAAATTACAAAAAAATGAAAAAAAAAAACGTATAAATGGGTGGAAAAGAACAAAAAAAAAAGATAATAATTTAAAAAGATAAACAGGCAAAAGAAGTCAAACAGTTAGTACAGACACTTAATTCTACTACAAAACAACATTCCGAACGCACCCGAACTGGATGTCGAGCAAAAAGGCATTGTTTTGACAGGCAGATGTCATCGAGAATGTAGTTGTCACCAAATAAATGAATAATACAAAAGATGTAAACATGGAGAACTCTTTAAGTGTTTAGGTGATAACAACAACCTTATCGAGTGCGTAAACAAAGTGTGAGCGAGATATTAATTAAAGTTAAAGATAAATGTAAAGTAGGGAGATACTGTTATTGTTTCCGAGAACTTTTTTGCCTATGTACGAAGTTGCTTTGGGCGGTGTTGCTTGATATTTGACCATAAGGGGCTTCAACTCGTCCAGTGACGTTATTTTATGACGGCTATTATCGGCGGGTTTGACAAAGATGGTGCCGTCCTGTGTCCAGCAGGCCGACATACCGAAATGTAGCCGAGCCATGCTGAAAGCCATCTGTCGAGATCTCGTCAAAAACTCTCTTACCGAGAAGCCGGAGTCTTTGCCTTCCAGACAGCAGCTCGAACTATCGCCGAGGAGAATCTGATAAGCACTGGGCGACGACGTTCCCCTGATGGAGTACCCAAGCGGTGACAGAGCTGGATGTTGGGTGCAGTGATATCTTTAAGTCCCATCTTATGATTTAAAATACTCAACAGGGTCTTGCTACAATCCTCCTGAACAGCTTCAGGTACACCGAGGAAGATAAGTGCCTTGCGACGATGGCGGGTCTCCATAACATCCACCATCTTGGCACATTCGTTGATTTGTTTCCGTAGCAGGCCCAACATGTTAAACATGAGCTCTCGGAATGCTCTAAATTCTTCTGACACTCGGGCAACGGTATCTTTGGAGTTCCCCCCGGAATGCAGCTGTGCTTCTAACTGGGTCAACCTCTTGGAGAAGCTTTCCTCAAGACTGCTTTGAGCCATTTGGATATCGGCGAGTTGGGACATGTTGGATAAAAAGTTGTTGAGTAGTAGTTGTTGTAATTTGTGTAAAAAGGCTGGCAGGTGGCACAGAAACTTAGATCAGCACATATGAACAGACTAATAATTGTAAGTATTGAGTTAATAAGCAGAAATTCACTTAATTTGGTAGTAAATAAGCTATAAATAATTAAAATTTATTTAGAGCTTTTAACAATACGTGTGAACTTTTTAACACCTACCCACGAAAAAAAAAGAACTTCTTTTTTAATTATGACCGATCCTTCTCTTACATATACATACTCATAAATATATACATACATATATACATACACATACACATATATATATGAGAAAAATAAAAAAAAATAAAAATTTAGCCGATGAACTAGGAGCTCGTTGAATCTGCCATTTCGCTCAGCAATAGCTCTTTC